AAGATTAAAGGAGATTGTCATTTGGGGATGACGAAAGAGTCTACTTACTGGAATCAGGATATTAGGATAATGTTGACAAGAAGTGATTTGGTGCCAAGCTTAACTCTGTTACAGCCTAAGTATTTTCTGCTTTCATTAAGATTGAAGATAGGTGGAGTTGGGATAGCAAGGAAAGATTCAGTGGGTTCAAGTGAGGAAAATAATAGGGAGTTGGAGCTGGGTCCCATCTAGTTGAAACTGAAAGGTGGAAGCAGGGGAAAAGGCCATGCTATAAGCTCAGGCCTGGCAGTCCCTGACTATGGGGTTAGCCTGGGGCCTCACACGGGGAGGCACCCAGGAACTAAATTCTGCAAAGGACAAGGGATTTCCTTGCCACAATTTCTTCATCTCTTTGAAGAGAAAAATACTAGGGAGGAAAAGAAGGAAAGGGTAAAAGAAGAAGGCATATAACCAGTGGCAAAGCCCAAAATAATGGACTTAGGAGTAAGAGAAGCACCTTCTGAGAAAGCTCTCTGTAAATACAGCATTTCAGCAGAGCTGGGACTGTGCAAACTACTAGAAAACACACAGGGTCCAACATATTGTGATCTTTACACTTTAAACCATTTTTCTGAGCTACATGAGAGTACTGTAGGGATTAACTTTTATTTTTTAGCATATGAACCCAAGGTTCCTGTGCAGAGGGAGGAGATTGGGAACATTTTGTTATTGACTTGTTTCATCCTCTAGAGGATTTGCTTGCAAGCAGCAGTGAATGGACCACTGTGAGAACACAATGATATTTTCATCTATGACTAGACCATTCTATTCCTGCTCCTTTTAGGGAGAGGAAAATTGTTCCTAGCTATTTTGGTCCAAAGTTTTTCAGAACTTCCATTACAAAGCATAAAACAATTTTGACTTCTGGGAAATCCCTTTTCAGTTAATAATTTAAAATGTATTTATATGGGTAGATATGACTCTCTAAAGGTTACCTTTTTATAAACTTTTTTAAGAAACATATTTTATAGGGGGTGCCTGGGTGCCTCAGTCGGTTAGGCATTCCAACTTCGGCTCAAGTCATGATCTCATGCTTTGTGGGATTGAGTCCCCCATCGGGCTCTGTGCTGACAGTCAGCTCAGAACCTGGAGCCTGTTTCGGATTCTATATCTCCCTCTCTCTCTGACCCTCCCCTGTTCACGCTGTCTCTCTCTCTCTCTCAGAAATAAATAAAACATTAAAAAAATTTTTTTAAAAACCATATTTTATAAACAAACAAAACCCTTACTACATTTTCTGATTTGTGGTATGAGCAGGTGCGGAAGGAATTCCTAGGTTAAATATCTTATCCTTATTCTTAGGATAAGACAACTGCTGAGAGCCAATTTTACGATCATTCATCTTTAGTCAGATACAGAGTAACCCATGTCACCATGTCACCAAATAAAAAACTTGAATCCTCAGCAAAGTCACCATGATAGCCTCTTGTTCAAAAGATGGCAGTGTTACCTCAGCTCTTTTCCTGTAGCACAAATAAATCCAAAAACCCATCCCCCCAAAAACCCATCCCCCCATCACCACTTTTCCCACCTCCTATACATACACCACTATTTTTTTATTTCTTCTTAAACCACTGTGTCAAGTGGGAAAGAAATATACAGGTTTGTAAAGAGAAAAGTGAATGTAGAAAGTGAATATGAAATGACAACTAGCAGCTGTAATGCTTTATAATTCTTCTCTAAACCAATGGCTTTCAAATCTTTTTTTTTTTTTTTACTACAGCAAGTCAGAACAATATTTTAAATCATGTCTTAGTATATGCATACTTAGATATTGTGTGTGTATGTATGCATGGAGAGGCAAATATTGTTAGGTTTCATAAAATACTACCTATGATGCTCTAAGATTTTTCCTTTTTATTCTCTTATTTTATAAAATGTATGACATGAGTCACTAAATTGATTTCATGACACTAAATGAAAAGTAATTTAAAAAATACTGTTGCCATGGGCAATATTAGCAGATAGCTTACTAATCTTATTCCAGAAAATAACACAAAACAGATATTGTTTTCTAATATCAGACTTCTTATATTCGAAGGATCTACTCTTGAAACATCCTTTTAGAGGGTCACTTTTATTTTTGCCTTGAAGATCCAGTGGTAATTGTAGATATTATAATAGAAAATCAGGATCATAGTCTTCCTTCATTGTTTTTGACATCAGCCCTAGATTCTGAGCATCTCCTTTATCCCCCATATACTTAAGGTGAAGTCTTTTTAAGAACTGGTTGGGAGTTTATGCAGCCTGAGCTATTAACAGGGTATTTACCTGCAGAGACTCTCATCAGAAATGGCTTAAGAAATGATGGAAAAAAGGGACAGATTAAATATCTATAGCCGCTTAAAATGAAATACAACACAACTGTGGGGAAAAATGTCAATCTCTGTGCTATGAATATTCAAGGTACACTCTTAGGTTAAAAAAGAGTAATACAAGTGCACTGTGTATAATAGACTTCCATGTGTTTTTAAAAGGGGAACATACTCTGGTTTCTCTTCAGGTCGTATAAATCTTTTGCCTTTTAAAAGGGCAACATATGTGGAGCACCTGGGTGGCTCAATCAACTGAGCAGCTGACTCTTGTTTTCAATTCAGATCCTGATCCCAGTGTTGTGGGATGGAGCTCAGCATTGGACAAAGCATTGAGCCTGCTTAAGATTCTTTCTCTCCCTCTGCCTATCTTCCCCATTCACATGTTCTCTCTCTCTCTTTCTCAAAAAAAAAAAAAAAAGGTGGCGGGGAGGAACATAGGTGTTTATATGTACATAGAATATTTCTGTAAAGTTTCACAAGTTATTAGTAATGGGAATTGCCTCAAGGAAGAGAAGTAGGGGACTAGAAATCTGGGATGATGAAGATTTAATAATTTTATACCTTTTCATAGTGTTTGAAATTTTTGTTTTGTACATATACATATTATTTTTTCAATTAAAAACAGCTAAAATGTGTTGTAAGGAGTAGGGACTTGTAAACCCATTAAGATTAAGGGAGTTTTCCTTGTGAATAGTCACATAAATAGAGGTTTATTGTAACACCAAAATTCAAAATTCATTCTCTTTAATTTACATAATTTGTATAATTTACAAAGATTCCACATCCATTTCCTGACTTAATGCTCATAACAATCTTTAAAAATAGGTGACCCAGGTATTAGAAGCCACACTTTACAAATTAAAAAAAGACAAAAACAAAGCTGAAGCCTAATGAACTTAAAAATCTAGAGCATATTTTAAGGAAAGAAGTTTGGAGACATTTACATGATTATAATATAGTAGGGACCTGAAATGTTACAGTATTATGAGTATGAATAGTTTATGAATAGTAGCATTTTTAAAGCCTTCAGCAATATTCCTTGTAATATTGATCTCAACTAAGAAACTCTTGCACTAAAGGAGAAAGAAGGTAGAAACAAAACCTACTGAAACTCTCTATAAAATATACCTAACATTAGAAAATTGTCAACTGAGGACTGGTTGAAAATTAGCATCAAAGAAGTTTTATTCAGAATTTTGCTACATATGTTTTTACCTTTAAATTAGATAAACCTAAAATAATTGCCTAAAGGGAAAGAGGGAAGTTACGAATCATCTGTACTAAATCTTGAAAAATACCTTAAAGGTTTATGGTTTACTGTGTCTCCCAGTATTGCTGAACAATCTCAATTTACACCTACCTCCTGTACCCAGGTAATTATTGATAGCATCCTCTTCACTCTCAAACACTTCCTAGTTTGGATGACAAATTCTATCTCCCCCCGCCATTAATTATCACATTTTAGTTGCATATACCTTTGAAATCCTCATGTTCTAGGGTTTGGGCTTCACCTCAAAACTAAGAATTACCCTAATTCATGCAAAAGTAGAACAATCCATGCTCAGATTATAGTCGCTTATATGCCTCTCAAAGAAGAGTAATTTCCAAAGCATTACCTAGCTGCAACTGTTGGCTTTATTAAAGAGATTAACAGTGAGAAGGGAATGTCAGGATCTGATTTGAGAGTTTGGACATGTAGGGTTTTAAAAGGGAAATGTGAACCAAGTTTGACTTGGTGAGACTAAAGTAGAAAAATACTGAATCCACTTAACAGATCTCTGAACATAGAGTTCAAAAAGTGAACGAGCTCTTAAGAGTCCTTCCTTCATGTATCATTTATTTATTAATATTTGGAGAGTGCTACTGGAGGTAAGACACTGTTCTAAGCACTGCATCAATTTTGTCAATAGTTTTAGGAACATTATGCTAAATTCTCAGTGCTTTGCAGTAATGTAATACTATACATCAGATTGTTATGTAAACCAGCCTCTGACTTATTTTCTGACTAGCACTCTTTAAATGTTTTCTAAGTTGTACTTATTCCATTCAATAATGACATAGATTATTCCCATGGTCCAGATAGGTTCAGTTGCTGCATTTCTTTTTCATGTTACAAGTTTATTTCTTCCTTAGAACAAGCAAATGAATGAGTAGCCAAGCTGAATATCACGGTAACAGCATCTTTTACTCAGCAGAAAGCAGACCATCTATCCGGAATGTATAATTACTGAAAGATTAAAGCAACGCCACAGGTTGGTTTTAAGATGTGTTTACCCGCTGTATTTCCTGAAACACTTGGCATTTAAATTGAAGTTATCATGTAGTACGTGATTACTCGAGGTTTCTATGTAAAGTATTAAAAAATATTTTAATTCTTCTTTTATGTTTAGATGTATACTTTTAACAGAATCTTTTCAGAATGTGTTTTAACATGCACATACCAAAGATCATGCATTCAGATTCTCTCCTGAGGGTGTGGGGACTTGGTTCCAAATCTGACAATTTGACTATTTCTCTCACTGTTTCTGTGAATGTTTACATCTTTTGTTTATATCTCCCCTTTCTTTCCTTCCTTAGAAATCTTCATTTCCTATAAATTACTCACTGGACTTTCCCCCAAAAAATCTTGTGGGCTTTTACTTTGTTCTAATCATCACTGGTTGAGTGATTACTGTCACTGCCTTCACTGTCACTATCACTGTCACCTCCATTGTTGCCATTACCAGATTTGCTCTTGTTGGTACCCTCACTACTATCAGATGCACTGTCACTGCTGTCACTACTATCCTTGCTGTCACTGCTGTCACTGTCACTGCTATCACTGCTATCGTTGCTGTCACTGTCACTGCTGTCACTGCTATCACTGTCACTGCTGTCACTGCTATCACTGTCACTGCTGTCACTGCTATCTGATTTACTGTCACTACTATCACTACTATCACTGCTGTCACTGCTGTCACTACTGTCACTGCTATCACTGCTGTCACTGCTGTCACTGCTGTCGCTGCTGTCACTGCTATCACTGCTGTCACTGCTGTCACTGCTGTCACTACTGTCACTGCTGTCGCTGCTATCACTGCTATCACTGCTGTCACTGCTGTCGCTGCTATCACTGCTGTCACTGCTGTCACTGCTATCACTGCTGTCACTGCTGTCTGACTTGCTGTCACTGCTGTCGCTGCTGTCACTGCTGTCACTACTGTCTGATTTGCTGTCGCTGCTGTCACTGCTATCACTGCTGTCACTGCTATCACTACTGTCACTGCTGTCGCTGCTATCACTGCTGTCTGACTCGCTGTCACTACTGTCACTGCTGTCACTGCTGTCGCTGCTGTCACTGCTGTCTGACTTGCTGTCACTGCTATCGCTACTGTCACTGCTGTCACTACTGTCTGATTTGCTGTCACTGCTGTCTGACTTGCTGTCGCTGCTATCGCTACTGTCGCTACTGTCACTACTGTCACTACTGTCGCTGCTATCAGTGCTGTCTGACTTGCTGTCGCTGCTATCGCTACTGTCGCTGCTATCACTGCCGTCGCTGCTGTCTGACTTGCTGTCACTGCTGTCGCTACTGTCACTGCTGTCACTACTGTCTGATTTGCTGTCACTGCTGTTACTACTAGTACTACTGTCACTGCTGTCGCTGCTGTCTGATTTGCTGTCACTGCTGTCACTACTGTCACTGTCACTATCACTGCTGTCACTGCTGTCACTACTGTCACTGTCACTATCACTGCTGTCACTACTGTCACTGCTGTTGCTGCTGTCACTACTGTCGCTGCTGTCGCTGCTGTCACTATCACTGCTATCACTGCTGTCGCTGCTGTCACTACTGTCACTGCTATCGCTGCTGTCACTACTGTCACTACTGTCTGATTTACCTTTGCTGCTGTCTGATTTGCCATTGTCACTGCTCCCATTGTTACCATTGCCATCACTCTCACTATCATTAGCATCTGATGTGTTGTCACTGTCGTCATCATCATCTCCTCCATTTGAGTCACTGTCATTGCCATTATCTTTTGATTCATCAGAGTTATAACCAGCATCTCCTCGGCTATCACTGTTATTGTCACCTTCAGAATTGGCATCATCATTGCCATTAGACTCATCACTGCTGTTGGGATCGTCTCCTTGCATGGATTTATCATCAAACTCATAACTGTCATATCCATCACTAGTACTGTCACTACCTGTTTTGCTCTGTGCAACCTTACTTCCGTGTTCTGATTTCTGACCAGGTCCTTGTACATTGTCAATCTCTCCTGGTGTCTTGACATTTCCTTTGCCCATGACCATTACAAGTTGTCTTTTACTCTCTTTATCTTCACTGACTTTCCCAGCTTCTTTGGTTATATTGTTTCTGTTGCCACTATTGGGACCTTCCATTTCTATTCCCTGTGGAAATATGGAAAAAAGAATGATTGATTAGTGGATGTTCTCTTGCTAAACTGTGTTGGTCTGAGGAAATCTGACTGGGGAAGGTGACCAGAAGAACAGAAATTCAGCTTCCAATACATTGTAACATATGAACATAAACTGTGAAAATGTGCTTTATTCACTTGAGAGAACTTTGGTATTTAGATTATAAGACAACTCATTCACATTTTTACTCAGTAGGAACTTTTGTGAACAGTTACGTGGTACACCAGTTATTGAGCAGTAGACTTGCAGCCAAATTTCAGAAATATCTGCTTTTAAAAATTGTTCTGTATCAAAGTCTAATAAGAACTCTAACTTTTCCATTAAATATTCAAGTAACTTCAGTGAAAAAATAGATGAATGCCTATTATGATTTATTTTTATGTTACCATCAGTGAATGAAGAGGGAGAATTTAAACTGCCATTGAAAGAAATCAGCTTCACGAACTAACCTTATCTTGCCTCTTCCCAATAGCACTTGGCTCTAATTTATCAGTGATTTTCTTTTCCACAGCTTTGTTTTCTCTGTGATTGGGTTTTTGCATGTCTTCTATTATTTGGCTATGTTTGGCTTTGGGAATACTATCAGAATCCTCCTCACTCTTGGAAGTGTTGTCTCCATCAGTGCCATGGGGATCTTCTTTGTCTTGAGGGTCGTAATCTTCACTACTCATTGAATTTTGACCTAAGCTATTATCGTTATCTTCTTTTCCAGAAGGCTGACCCTCTTGGCCCTTGCTGCTATCAGTGTCCTCTTTTCCATTCCCTGTTTCTTCACCTTCATCATCACCAGAGCCTTTGTCTTCATCCTCCTCTGCTCCATTCCCACTGGGACTCCCATCAGAATTATCCAGGCCAGCATCTCCTCCATTGCCAGCGCCACTTCCCCCTGGTGTTACTCCTGCCTCCTGATTCCAATTTCCCTCACCTTCTCTCTGAGGTGTTATTTCACTTGTATTGCCTTCACTTCCACAGGAATTCCTATTTATTTCATTCTCATGGCCTGTACTGTTTTTGCTTCCAGCTATTTGATGTCCATCTGCTTGGACAACAGTGGCATCCTCACTCTGACTTGCATCTCCAGCATCCCCATTGTTTGAATTCTTATCAGTATTTCTATTAATATTGCTCCCATTTACAATTCCAGCATTGTCGATAATGCTTTCTTGTCCCCAAATGCCATTTGCTGTGGTGCTACCTTCTTTTCCATGTGGACCATCATAACCATATGTTTCTAGTTTTCCTGTGACCCCATTTTGATCTTCAGTATTCCCCTCTTCAATTACTAACATGGGATGTGTAGAGGAAATTTTCCCTCCTACTTCTGCCCACTCAGAGTCATTTTTTTCTCCTTTGTAACCATCTTTGACATACTGTTGCCTTCCTCTTTCATTTTCATGGAGGACACCACCTTCTTTGTTGGTGTCATTGGCATTTAACTCATCCTGGAAAAGAAAAACAATTCAAAATAACTTGTAGATATCATCTTGGAGATCAACAAACTGAAAATATAAGCATCAATTTTCTGGAAGTTAATAGAATTTTAAGAACAGCTTAGAAACACATTTTATATCCTATACCTGTATTGGCACTTTTGCTTTTTCTAGAAGATTTACATTCACAGATTTATCAACAGCAGGTCTCTCCAGTGGCTTGATTTGAGGAACCTACCAAAATGAAATTATTGTAAATTGAAAACATTCTGATTTTGTGTGCATGCATGCATGCACACATGCACACACACACGCACACAGACACACATTTTCCCCCAAATGAAGAAAAAATATAGAACACAAAGGCCAAGTTACAATCTAATTAGGTAGAAAACAAAAGTGGCTTGTTACATAGCTTATGTAGAATTTTAACTGGGCATACAGATATTTTTCACCATGGTATTACCAATTTTGTTGAACTATTACCAGACTATTTATCTCAGGAGAACTGTCTTTTATAAAAATGAGGAGATAGACCTTTGGTGTTTCTGTACCAAGCCTCCCACACTGGCACAAGACCCACCTTAAGTATAATCCTGGCTAAAGCCCTGAAGAGAATATCAGATCTGACAAGAGCCAGTGCAAAAACAAAAGCAAGTAATTTGCTACTTCTGTGTCCTTCAGGAGTACATTTGAAATAGTTGAGAAAATTCTTAATTACATAAATACCAATGTGTTTGATATGATGAAAACATACCAAAACATTAACTATAGCAGCTGGCTAATACAATTACAAATGGTTTAATTTTCCTGACTTTTTCTTTCTTGGTGTTTATCTGTGTATTCCAAATTTTCCCCAATAAGCATTAAAAATAATAAGTATCTGAATGAAATATTTTCTCCTATGTTGAAAAAATCTGATTTTTTTTCCTATTTTCATTTCTTGAGAACTTCCTAAAATTGCAGCCTTCATTGATGTTAGAATGAAATTTATGGGGCATGAGCAAAGATGACTAAAGTCTTCATAACTTTTTGACATTAAATGTTACTTAATTTGAATGAATTTTACAAATTTGTGTGTTATCCTTGTGCAAGTCCATGCTAATCTTCTCTGTAATGTTCAAATTTTACTATACATGCAGCCAAAGAGAGAACAATCCGAATGAATTTTATTCTGAATTTTTTAAAAAAAATTTTAATGTTCATTCATTTTTGAGAGACACAGAGAAAGACAGAGACAGAGACAGAACATGAGTGAGGGAGGGGCAGAGAGAGAGGGAGACACAGAATCTGAAGCAGGCTCCAGGCCCTGAGCTGTCAGCACAGAGCCTGATGTGAGACCTGAACTCAGAATGGCGAGATCATGACCTGAGCCAGAGTCAGATACTCAGCCGACTGAGCCATCCAGGTGCCCCTAATCTGAATGAATCTTAAAAGTAATAATCCATCTGACAAGACTTGAGTTCCAATTCAAGTAATGGGAGCATGAATTGGAGTGCGTATTTGGATTTGTGGAGATCCCCAAAAATAACTTGTAAAGTTTTTCATGCAAATCTAGATATTTAAGCACAACTTATCTTCAAAGTCTTAAAGAAATATACATTATTTGATGTTAGGTTAAAAGAGATAGGAAAGTAAGGAGATTTTCTGAGGAACACATACTTACTGGAATGGCCCATGCTGCTGACCAAATGCAAAAATATATAATTATCTTCATTTTCTTTAGGAATATTAATCAATCTGTTTTTAAAGAAAAAAAAAAAAGAACAGCATGGAATTACTTATAAGGCAAAAGATGATAATCACTAATAATAAGGTATTATTTTGGTCAAGAAGCATTTGTCTTTTTCCTGGGCAAGAAGGCTGTCAAGACTCAGTGTTCCATAACGTACTTGGAATGCTCACAGGGTCATACAGGATGCATCATCAAGCTTAGCACTGAGGTTGCTAACTAGATTTTTTTTCTCTCTATGCCAATGAAGAGACAGAGTTGTGTAGTTGCAAAGGGCATAACCATAATTTTGTCTTGTTATTCTTAATGGTAATAACATTTCTTCTGAATAGTTTTAATTAAGTATTAACCAGTTCTAAGATTATGCTTAAAAGATGAATCATTTATCATCCCCACGCCAAATCCATACAAGTGGCTGTATGTAGACTCTAAAGGAAAGAAGTTAGTAGCATCAAGGAGCCTTGGCCAATGGAAGGAAAATGGAGTTTGGATTTAGAGACCTGGGTTCAAGTTCTGCCTTTGCTACTTGATGCATGAGCTTGAGAAATTTAAGTAGTTTTATTAAGTCTTTGTTTGTTTCCTCCTTATGGGATAATAATACCTGTGCTTCAGTATTATCCCAATTTCCTTAGCAGAAGAATCTTCTCTGAGAATCATTCTCTGACTCCACATCAAAGGGGATTTGATGTTTCTATCATCTTTACACCTTGTACCTTCTGCAAATCTCACTGATAACATATTGCACTGTTTGAACAGGGCCTGGCTACTTATATGTTCCCCTGACCTACTGACAGTTCCTGAGGTCTAAGAGAATGTCTTGGTGATCACGGTATTCCAACCTCAGTAGACAAATACATGTTTTTAAAAAAATTGTTGGTGAATAAATACTTATTAGTATAAGCACAACCTAGTACCATTCTGGGTATTTAGCAATCCCTTAATAAATGATAGCAATTATTATGTGGAACTTCTTTTTTTTTTTTTTTTCATTTATTTCTGAGAGAGAGAGAGAGAAACAGCATGAGCAGAGGGTCAGATAGAGAGGGAGATACAGAATCTGAAACAGGCTCCAGGCTCTGAGCTAGCTGTCAGCACAGAGCCTGGTGCAGGGCTAAAACCCACGAACCATGAGATCATGACCTGAGCTGAAGTCGGATGCTTAACCAACTGAGCAACCCAGGTGCCCCTATGTGGAACTTCTAAAAACATGATCCTTTATTCTTGTTAAAATTCACATTAAAAATGGTACGATAGCTAGCTAGCTAGCTGGAATGTAGTCCATGTGAATCAAAAATTTAAATTGCTATTACTGAAAGTTGTATTTTTTGATGTAATGATGCTATTACTACAGAAAGGGAAAAAGACTTTTACTCCTAATTCATGAACTCCCTCCGGGCTTATAGATTACAATATTCCATTTCATAAAATAGCTTTGATTTAATTTAATGTTGATAGTGGAAACATAATAAAACTTCAGTGAATATCAACTGTCATAGAATTATTGACAATTCCTTACAGGAGAGAGGATAGGGTTTCTGGAAGAAAAGAGGGCTTACTCTTAAAGTCATTCAGTAGAAAGCCAAGAATAGCTAGACCTCCTTTAAAAATACTGCGGGTTAAAAATGAAGCTGAGGGGGGACGCCTGGGTGGCTCAGTCTCAGTTGGGCATCTGACTACGGCTCAGGTCATGAACTCACAGTTCGTGGGTTCCAGCGCCCCGCCGTCGGGCTCTGTGCTGACAGCTAGTTCGGAGACTGAAGTCTGCTTCAGATTCTGTATCTCCCTCTCTGTCTGACCCTCGCCTGCTCACGCTGTATCTCTCTCTCTCTCAGAAATAAATAAAACGTTCAAAGAAAAATGAAGCTGAGGTGACCTCAGGACAAGTATAATACAGAATTCTGAGGCATAGATGTTAAAGGATGGCTGTTTAGGAAGCAGGGGTTATACTGTACTTTGAAGTTCCAAACCTAATTATTACATAGACTGCGGAAGGCTGGTCTACACTGTGATTTGGAAGAAACATGGTGTCCTAGAAAGGTACCTGTAGTGAAGGTCAGGGTTATGTGCATCCCATTTCTAAACTACAATCCAGCAACCTGACTACTTTGGCTCTCTTTCAAATCCACTCCAGAATGATTGCATAATGTACCATGATGCTTGCCACTATATCCACAGGTAGATGAATAGCTCAAAAGACTGCTATAGAAATGGCCCCAGTTTTGTCAACTTGAAACCTCTTTCATTTTCCAAACCTGTTATTATATCGTGAAACAGAAAAAGTACATGAAAGAGGTCAGAATCTCCAGATATCCTAAGTATAAGTATTATAATCTAGCTTTGAAAACCCTTTATGTCAATTGGCAAGAAAAGAATATAATCTTTTAGGTGGAAAGTTGATTTTTTTAGGGATCAAAAAATTAAATGTAAACTGGGACTCCATTCATTCATTCATTCATTCACTCTGAAGACCTAATGTGGGCTAGATACTGAGCCCTGGAAATAGATATGAGCCCTACCTTCGTGGGGCTTATCACTGAGTGGATTAGCCAGACTTCGGAGTAAAGGTACCATAAAGTGTTGAATAAAATTCCTAAATCCACATTTATTTCCTAACAGAGTCAGTGTTTAAATGTCACTATTGTTACTATTTGAGAGGAAGAGATTGTTTCTTTCCTTTTTTACTAAATCGCATCACATCTTATATTGCATTGGTGAGGCCAAAAAAGTGTCTTTAGATTAAAAATTCTGAAAGATGGTTTTTCTAGATAAAAATAACAATAATGGAGCTTTTGTGAATTATGCGTATTCTAACCACTCATTCTGTTGTTAATATTTTAGATTAAAATATTTGCTTCTTTTTTTAATATACCTTTTCTGACTATTAGCAACTGATACTTTAACACAGTGGCTGTAAAAAAAAATTCCTATTCTTCAGTGATGAAGATACTAGATGGGGTTAGCATTCCTTACCACATAATTTTCCATTATTTTTAATACATAGTCTTGATTTGTCAAATCAAAAGAGAAGGGAAAAATCTAATCACGGGGTTATCCACTTCTTAAAGTCAAGTCTGCGTCTTCTCTGAAATTCAAATTTCTACAGGAATCTGTTGGTTCTGAGTAAAGAGGATGTTTCATCTTACCTTAAAAGCCTTCAAAGGGACTTTGAAAATCCAGGATTTCTTATCTTTCTCTTTGAAGACTGAGAGTGGCTCTCTGTCTTGGACTTTTGCATGACAGTTTTGTACCTGCTGAAATTTAAACTCAGTTTGATAATTTTCTCAGCCAATCACTGTTTAGGATCCCTGATATGGGGTTATAAAGTGTCACTGTGTCTAAGAAGCACATAATAACTTACCCCACTTCCTTCACTTACTGATATGTATTTGCTCACTGAACCATTCGGTTCCAAGGGGACTAGACTTACTTTCACTTAATTAAATAGCTCATGGAAGACTGTTTTGCATCTTAAATATAGAGAATCAATGTAACATATCTGAAAAGAGCCACTTAAACTCTGTCACCCTGGCATTTCTTGTCTTACTAAGGTTGGCAATCTAAGAAAACTCTAGGTTTCTTTAGTAAATATGACTACCTATTTAAGACTCCTATCATTCCTGAGGTAGGTATTAAAGTTTCTGTGCTATAATTCAAGACACTGTCCACATGCAACAGCCTGGCATTGACCGAGGGGTCTTTAGCATATATAAATAGTAACTCTCATGAAATCTCTCTGACCTAAATAAATAGTTACATGAGATTTAAAAATGTATCAGTTTAGTATTCAAACTAAATTTTAAAAATAGATATTCAAAATACCAAAAGTTATTGTAAGATACCTGGGTATGCAAAAGTGCAGACAGACAATAGATTTAGCTCTTAATTATCTCTGTTATTTGTGTTAGCTGTGAAGGACAAAATAGAAAACCAGATGTTATTTTTAGCAGAAAGTTTTGCTTTTCTAAACACTATTCTCTTGAACCCCAGTTGTATACCATAATGCAGCTAATCTCTAAACCATTTATCTAGTTTGTGTGTTCAAAAACTGGACAATCTATGTCTCTTCATATATTTCTTCAGAACTTTCAGGAATATTCTAATCTTTTTTTATATAATACTGAAGGATGTGAACCACATAAAAGCACTAATATATCACTACAACAGTGGTAAGTTCAGAATTTATATATAGAACTATTACAGGGAAAGCAATAATGTTGCAAGGGAATGAAAGAAATGGAAAGAGAATTTGCCATGAAGCTGTGTTTTCACAGTACTTAGTTTTTATTTAGATGGCATATTTATATGGGTAGCTTAAAGGGCCTAACCAGATTTTAAGGAGTCCTAAGTCACTCCTGGGAGCAACTCAACACCTTCTCTCACACAGAGACACCAGTGGAGATTAGTGAACTAATGTCCTTTGACTTGAATTAACATGATTTCAATAACTTACAGAACTAGTAGACAGAAAAATCATTGCCAGTAAGATTTAAAGAGAAATATCAACCAGCTTGATCTAATTGACATCTACAGCAGAATAAACATTCTTTTCAAATTCAGTGGAATATTTACCAAGATAGACCATATTCTAGACCTTTGAAAAAATCTCAATACATTTAAAAGAATTTGACCCATGCAAAGTATGTTTCCTGACCCCAAAAGAATTAAATTAGAAGTCAATAACAAAGAAAAATAAGTCACCAACAGAAAGATCTCTGGAAACTGAATATTTGGAAGCCAAATTACATACTTCTAAGTAACCAATGAGTAAAAGAGGAAAGCAAAGAGAAATTAAAAACATGTTGAATTAAATAAAAATGCAAACAGAACAATGGATCAAAATTTGCAGAATGTCACTGAAGCACTTCTTAGGGTGGAAATTTATAGCACTCAATTCCTGTGTTAGAAAAGAAAAAGGTCTCAGGACACCTGGGTAGCTCAGTCAGTTAAGCATCTGACTTTTTATTTTGGCTCAGGTCATGATCTCA